CGAAAATTTTCTTATTCTTATCTTATTTTTCTGGCTTAATTAAATAATTATTCACCCGTTTTCTCCAAATAATTTATTTCAAGCATTTTAAATCCATTTACATGGAACAATGACTCACTTAAATTTTTTAAAACGTTCCGTTAGCAAATTTAATTTTCAGAGGTTCGTTTAGTAAGGAATAACGAGTACACGTTTTTCGAGATAATATTCGATCTAAGAGTGTAATAATCTTGAAGAATTAAGAATGATCATTAGTAGACTAAGAAAAGTTAATTGAGAGATTAGAAGTGAATGAGTTCAAAAAAATTTCGCTTTATCGCGCCAGAGTCGAAAGTTCGCGTATTTCGCGTCAAAAAAACTAAGTGGAGATTTGAGAAATTTATACTAAACTATTAAGAGTGAATAATTACAGCGTTAAAGGAATTACATTGAAAGATTAGTGCACTAGTGCAATAAATAAGAGAGAAAAGTGGTAGTGCACCTCACTATTTGAGCACTATTCAAAGTTGACTTATTGCACCTTGGACTTAGCTTCCTTAACACACTTCATCCACCAACATTCAAATCACAAAACACACTCTCTCTCTTCTCCATAGTCTCGGTCGAACACCCAAGGAAAGGGAGGAAGAAAGCTTCACTTCATCTTGCTTTATCTTGCTCCATTTCACTTTCAAAATTGCATCCAACTTCAAAATCTCTTGGAGATCAACTTTAGCTTGGAGAAAGACATCATCTCATGAAATTTCTTGGGGAGTTTTGGTGAAAATTTCTGGTGCCATCTAGGGTTCAAGAGGTAAACTTCAACTCTTGCAATCTCTCCATTTTTCTTCAAGAATCAAGCTTAGATTGTATGGGTTTACAACCCTAAGCAAGAAATAGGTAGAGGACTTGAGGAGACCCATTTTATCTTGCTTTAATCTTTAGGCTAGTGGTCTTGAGGTGGATTATAGGTAGCTGACTTGAGGTATAATTAGTTGATTGTGGTTGTTTATGTGTTATTTGAGATGAATACGGTTAGAAAGTGAAGGAAAAATCGAGGACAAGCTGTGCATGAGAGCTGGCCGAAACTGTCCTGTGGTTATCTTGCTTGTATGTCGAATTTTTGTTGGTTGTTTAGCTGTGAAATTGAGTGATATGTGTTGTATATTGTGTGTACAAAGTCTTTACCAAAAATCATTTCAATTGGTTGCTCAAAACTAGAGTTTTCGAAAAAGAAAGAAATCTGGAAATGGTGATCTGGGCAGCCGAATAGTACCTCTTTGTACAAAATTCAAAATCAAGTATCGTTTGTGGCATTTGAAACTAGACATTCGTAGCTTTCCAACGGTATAAAATGTATATGCTAGTTCGAATTGGGTGAACCGTAGTGATTTAACAAATTTGACTGCCCTGTTATGACTATCTGTCCAAGAGGAATGGAGAAACTGCATCTTGTGGCTTGAATTTCTCTCACTTGTGAACTGATTTTGGAAAAAGCTCTTTCTGATAAAATGTAGCATTTTGAAACTAGTTTTCAACGCCACCAACCATTCCCAATTTGAACTTGTATTGAGTGAGATGTGGTCTGATTTCGAAAGTGCAACAAAGCTGGAAACTAGAAAGTCTTTCCTTTCTTGTTGACTTGTTTCGGGATGTTTTGTTTCCAAAATTTTGATGTCAATTACCCATCAAATGTTTATTAAATATTTATAGGACCTTGGTTTCAAAATTAGACCGAATTGGGGTTGATTTCATTGTGCAAAACGTTTGGAAAAGAAAGAAAAGCATGAGGGCAGATTGGCATTGAAACTTTTTCGAATTTTGGTAGTTTTGTTAACTACCTTTCCACGTGAGTTTTTGTGTGAAATTTGATAGAGAGGTAGTCCACATAGGGAAGATTAAGTGTACCAAATTTGGTGTCATTTTGATAACCTTTCGATATCCAAATGATGCTACAAAATGGCTCTTCAAATCTGGAAATTTTTTATCAGTGTTCAAATTTCAGCCAACTTTAAACTGCCATATCTTGATGCTCAAAATCCTGAATTTAGTTCCATTTATAGTGTTTGAAACCTTGTTTGGATCTCTTATTGTGTTACAAATTTCAGAGCATGATTCGCTTTCTGTGAATTATGTCAAATTTCCAAAAATTGCTGAAAATCAAGACTGGTTCAAACCTGTCTTCTTGGAACTGGAACTTTGAACTGAAAAACGAATGCCTTTTGTTTAGAATCTTGGAAAAGTATATTCTAAGAACTTTTAGTGCTTTGAGTCTAGTTTCCAACAGTATAAATTTTTCAATTTTTTGACTTACGAAACTCGAGATACGATTTTTCGAAGTAGTGTCACTTTGAGCTGAAAATTTCTGATTTCAAACAAATACAATTTTAAAGAACTTTCCACCTTCCTTTACGATTCTTGGACTGTTTTAGTTGTAGTTTCATGGTTGAATGCACGGTCCCTTTTGGAAATTTAAACTTTCGTTTCAAATCTTGGTTGCCAAAGGTTAAACCTCTCTTAACGCACTTTCTTGGTTGTTCCACTTTCTTGGTTAATGACACTTTATTCTATACTTGAATTTGGGACTTCAACCCCTATTCTTGTGGCCTTGATTTCCATGAGTTTGAATTCTAAAAAGGGAACGTTTTGACTAGAGTAATTCTTGGGAAATTGCATTAGTTTTATACTTGAATCTTGGAACATTAACCTTGACAATTACTTTGAAAATAAGTGGAGTTTTGGACGAGTTTGGACCCCATTAGTTTGAAAATGTGAACGTTCTTTATATTTTAACTTTTGGGTCATGAGATTCGAAGTTTTGGGAGATGAAAATCATTTACCCTTTTTCCTCAATTTTCGTGCCAAAAGTGGAAAACGGTATTTTCTCTTGGATTGAGATTTACTTGCTACGACTTGAATCAAAAACGACTTTCAAGTTCTCTTGAACATTATTCCAATGTTTTAGCTAGAAAGCTTCTTTAACTTGACTCGAACTAGTGACTTGAGAGTGGATAGTGAGAAAATGTTTTACCTTTTAACCTTGGTTGAGAACCTAGATAATTATGATTGTACATGTCTCAGATGGTCACGAAAACGCTGAAGAGCTCGTCTGACTACTCGCTTTACTCTTATTTTGCCCTTGGCTAGTAATGAGTGTCAAGTGTATGAAGTGTTGCCACGTACTTAATTGTTCTCATTAATTGAGTATTTTGAAAGTGTCGAGTCGAGTGTGTACTTTATTTTTACTCGTTCTCTTTTAAGTGAATTATATTGAATTGTATGAAGTGAATTGCTAAGTGAATAAAGTGAAGTGTTGCAATAGTGAATTATACTACGGTTGAATCAATGTCGATTGGAGTGAATCTCCTTGACTTAAATTTATAATAGTGGGGGACGCCCAAACTCATCGGTCGACCTTGCGACTCGAGCCAGCATGGGTTTGGTCGTGAAACTTGGTGAACCATGAGAAAAATTGCATAAGTTTGATTTATTTGAGAGATCTCGCTGGGCATATTCAATTAGTATCGTCCTATATAAAAGAAGTGTGAGTCCGGAGCAGGGGGTGTAACGGTGATCGGCAGTGCGAAGTAAGTGGGGTTCTACGGACTTATAACCTATCCGGTTGACGGAGTGTCAACTCGTGGAGGTACTGGATCGAGCTTTGGCAGAGCAAGTGAAATATAGCTCCTGAGAGCTCCCGTATCCTTATCAAGTATATTTTATTGTTAATTGCGAACTACTTGAATGTTATAGCTTTAATTTTCGTATCAGTGCTATTGTTATTTGACTATGTATTTTGCATGCTTTTCTTGGCTTCATTGAGTATTAGCTCATCCCATTAGCTTTATTTTCCTTAACAGGAGTTGGAATGGAAAGAATTGTGGAGAAGCCGACTTGATAGTCTCCTGATTAGGGTTTTGGATGTACTGATTAGACGACTTTTGGAAGTTGTACATTTTGGAAAAGTTGATGTATTTTAAAAACTTGTGATGTAAGATTGAACACTTGTGTATGGAAGCGACTTCTTTCTGTTTGACTTTTATTATCGGTTATTTACTCTTAAGTTTGAACTAGAATGGTATCGAGTTCTGGCGAGAGTTAGGCAGGCGTCCTGCTGATACCCTTGGGAGAAGTGGGAGCGTCACTCTTTGTACAAGGAAGGATCACTTTTTGCTCCCAAACACTCATTGGTCAAGTCAAAAAGTTTTACTACAAGTTTTGTAAAACTTCACTAGGTTACTCACTTGAGAACTCACTAACAATTGAAAAGTTATTACTATCACCTCATATAAAACTATAAGTGTACAAACAAAACACCAATTCTTGCTTAGAGTTGTTCTAGAAAGTTTGTATAAAGTGTAGGCAAAAGTCCTCAACCCCTCCAACCTTTATGATATTTGTAGAACTCAAAAATTGCTACCAAAACACCTCAAACGGTCATACATTAAATGTAGGAGAAACTAGCAGTTAGAAGGTTCAGACGTTTGAAAACAAGTATGCGTCTGAGTCGTGCGCAAGGTTTGTAAAATCGAGATTCTACACAGGATCGATTTTAGTTTCACAGGATCGGATCGTAGAATCGTAAGATCCCACCAAATGTTCCTAAATTTACTAAATTAATGAACTTAAAATTCATATACCATTTTGTACACCCTAAAAGATATCAAATAAATAATTTACTTATAAATATATAGCATTTTTAACCTAGTGTTTGACAAGTAATAAAGAAAAAGAACATAAACAATTATAAATTATGATTTCAAGTCTTAAAATCAAATGCTTTACAATTTACACAATAATAATTTGAAATATAAAATAATCATCAACCTCCACAAACACTAAAAAGTCTAAACTTCCAAAATTCAAGATTTTCAACATGAAAATTAACTACTAAAATGTCATCTGTCAAGTTTAAACAAACATGAAAAAATAAATAATAACAATTCATCATTTTCAAGCATCATAACAATTCAAAAATATATTCATTTATAACCAATCATTTTCATCAAATTCATCATCCCCATAATCCATATTATTAAAATCAGTATTTTCCCAATCATCTTCGCCATCCCAATTCTGTTGGGATCCATCTTCGGCATTATCTTCATCACCATCTAAATTAGTATCCAGATCATTAGTTCCCATTTGAACATCATTTTCGGGAACCATATCAAGGTAATCATCATCTTGACGATCGAATTCTGTCGAAGGCCCATCATTTTCATCAATAACATGAATCTCTTTCATTTTATTAACTTGTCTTCTACGGGCATGTGTTTCACGACCTTCATGATTATCTAAATAAATAAACAATAACAATAAAAGTTACTAAAAATAAGAGAACCGGCAAAATACTACTATAAAAACTAAAAAAGATGATAAAATTTATACTTAAGTTGAAACAAAGAAAGAAACTTACAAGCTCTCTACACATTTCTTGTAAGTATTTCAATTTCATCATCTACATTTCCCTCTTCATCTGAAGTGTCACATATGGGATTATCATCTAAAACTCGGAACCAGCTATTCTCTCTTGGAAGAGTTGGATTTTTTTTCTCCGTCACCCATTCATCATCTGAAGGCAAATCCTCAAAAGGAATTTCTTCCGTAATACGTTGCTTTTGTCTTTGTTTCTCTCTTAATTTCAAGTTGTACATCACAAATACAAGATCATTCATTCTTTTTTGAGCCAAACGGTTTCTTCTCTTGGAGTGTACCTATTGAAATTAAAAGAATTTATACTATAAACTTAAACTCAACAAAATATTATATTGAATGTAATATTATATTATATGAAAACATTATTACCAATTCAAATGCACTCCAATTTTGCTCATATCCAGAAGATCTACAAGTTAAACTGAGAACTCAAACGGCAAAATTTTTCAACTCTGGACATTCATCCCCATAAGATTCCCACCAATTAGCTGTAAAAAATTAAAATAAATAACAAATTAATAAAGATTTTAAAGGTAAAAAAACATGTAAGTTTAAATAATAACTAACCAGGAGATTTCTTGTTTCTTGTTAGTACAGCATTCTCATGGCCAAATAATCCATGTGCATGTCGAAAATCATCTAATTGCAAATCAATTTTCACCCTTTCATTGGATTCGGGAACCATCTTCACAATGCAATCATAAAGGCCACGTTTTACATTTGCATCATACTGAAAATTTGGACTATATTGAAATTGAGGATTCAAATAATAACCCGCGACATGTAAAGGATGACTCAATTGATCTTCCCATCTTTTATCAATGATAGCAAATACTGATTCGTATCGAGCATATAAACATGAGTTTAGTAAAAAAATAACTAAAGTAAAATCATTCTACTATCCAACATAGAAATTAAAAATGAATTTATAATTAATATGGAAACTTATTTAAAATTTACCTCTTTCGAACATTGTTCACATTTTGTTTGATTTCTTCTTTCGCCTGATCAATAGCTTTATAGAGAAAACCCACGACAGGTTTTTCTTCAGAATCCACCATCCTCAATACTTTGATGAGAGGTGAAGCTATCTTTAAACATAGCTCCATATTTGGCCAAAATTGTTGATTATCGAAAATGATGCTTTCAATTTTTTTCCCTTTCTTCTCCTAGCATATGTACTTGTTTTCCACTTACTCGAAGAGAAAAAGGTAAACAAATTCCCTTTCAACTCGCTTAGACGTCTCATAGTCAAGTATGAAGTAGCAAAGCGAGTAACTCCAGGCCTAATCAACTTCTTGCCATTGGTGAACTCTTTCATCCAATTAATAACTGTACCCCATGAATAAATATATGTAACCACCGATTTTGCTTTTTGTATTGTGACTTTGTGGAGCGAATCAAACTTTTGAAAATCTTCCAACATTAGATCAATGCAATGAGCAACACAAGGGGTCCAAAACAATCTTTTTCTCTTTTCTATCAATATTTTTCCAGCTGCTTTATAATTAGAAGCATTATCGGTGATGACCTGCACAACATTATCCTCTCCAATTTTTTCCTCAATACCATCTAACAATTCAAATAACTTTTGAGTTGTTTTTGAAATATCAGTGGTGTCTATAGAAGATAAGAACACAGTACCAGCTGGACTATTCACAAGAAAATTGTTCATTGTTCTCTTTCTTTGGTCAGACAACCTATCAGACATAATAGTACAACCAGTTTTTTTTCACTCTATTTTGTAGGTATTGAGCAAGTTCAATGTCTCTTTCACCTCTTTTTTCAAAAATGTCATTCTCATTTCATGGTACGAAGGTGGTTTAAGCCCTTTTCCATTTTCTTCCAATTTTTTAATCATTAAAGGAAACAAAGGATTATTTACAGCATTAAATGGAATGGCACTTGTATAAAACCACCTAACCATGATTTGACAAACTTCATCTCTATCTTGTTTCTTCCATTTCTTATTTATGGTTGTTTGTCTTACATTCGACCCTCCAGGTTTTCTCACAACAAAATTTTCCATCGAACATTTCTTAGCCTGCTGCTTAACTTCTCCTTCTTCTTCTTCTAAATCATACATGGTACTAACCCTTTGTTTTTTTTTTTTCCTTGATTCCTCAAAACTTGCACTAAGTAAATCAAACATTTGTGTTCTAACATCTTCAGGAACGTCGGGACATGGTTCAACATTTACATGTGTACAAGCTAAATGATGTTTAAGCCTATACACACCACCTGCTCGAGTAATTCCACAGTATTTACACTGAACTTGTTTTTTGTCAGCATCAATTTCAATTCCATGATCCCACCCAGGATTCGATCGAGCACCCAGTGCATTTTTTCTACTTTGTTTCTTTGACGCGGAAGAAGACATTTAAACACTGCTAAATATGTTAGAATATTCATAAGGAACCAGCCATGATATCTGGATCAAACATATTACATACATCTAAGAAAGTCAGCTATGATTATTTCATAGTTAGGTAATAAAATAAATTTTAACACCCTTAATCATAGTGGTAACAAGTTAACAACCCAATAAAAAACTTGTTTACGTTGCAATTAAAGACAAGGAACCTAAATATTGAAAAGCACAAAGGGTAGACGCCTTCTACAATCAAATATTGAAGGCAGAGATCAATAGAAGCTAAGCACAAGAGTAGAAGCCTTGTACGTACAACAGAGCAGCATCCATAATGCAGCGTGCATAGTCTAATTAACTCTCAAACAAAACTTCAGGTAAAAGAAATTTAAATGTAGAGTAAACTGAATTACTTTTGAATATACCATATCAGTTTTCCCAAAGCTACACCTTGGTGAGCCATACCCATTTCAAAGTGGGATTCAATGACACAAATGCAACAAAAAAGATAACATACCCGAATATTCACAACAAAAAGATACATCAAACACAAAACAATAAGGCGAAAAACAAAAGGAAGGAAATACTGCTAGGTCCTATAAATTGTGAATCTATAGTGATTCTCTGCAAATAGCCAAGTTATATCAGACGTACGAAATTACCAGAAATAGAGACTTGAAAAGAACTTCTGGGCTTAACGTAAACTTAATGTTACTTGAAATTTAAAGGTAACTCGCTATGGGCCAGGAGGATCAAGCAGTAACCTTGCCAATATAATCATGAAATTGGGGGCTGCTAAGTGATCTTGAGGTAAATTTGAGGGGAAGTTTCCCAAATTATCCCTTTATTAAATTGTTATCAGAAACTTCAAGATTTATAAACCTTCAGAGTTTAATGAATTTTAAGGCCGTCCACACCTTGGGGAGATGTGACAAGGGTTTTACTTCTTTAATTTGAAGCAAGTATGGCCAAGCATTGAGACAATGATCATGTGAATTTTTTCTAGCTATGAGATAGCTCTAAAATTTTGTAGAAACAACAAATTTTCCACAACTCCAAAGCTCATAAAAAAACTCACAGGAGGAGCAAGGAGAAAAAGGGTCAGAGAGAGAGAAGCAACGGAGACGGCCTGTAATTCACCTCTGCCCAGTTTACCTCTGCGGCTCTACCTCACCTCACCTCTGCCGAATTTGTTTGGAATCAAGATGGAAAAGAAGCTTCAAGTGGAGATGGGAAAGAAATTGCTCCAGTTCACCACTTCACCTCTACCGAACCATGTTTGGAATCAAGATGGAAAAGAAGCTTCAAGTGAAGATAGGGAAGAAATTGCCCTAGTTCACCTCTGCCGAATTAAATGCCCTAATTTGGTTTTGGTAGAATACTAGAATGAAAATTGAAAAGTCCCTTTGTCTTTCTCGGTGCCCTTTTTCATTCCTGAAGCCGTATGAGTGTATGACCCGTGAGAATCTTTAGACTTTAGTGTGTTTTTTTGGACTTTTGAGACAAAAATTGTCACACAATTGCAATTAAAGGTTGCAATTCTTCCGTAAATTATAAGCTTGCCCCAAATATTTTCATTTTGTTACAAAATTTAACCTCATTTTTCTAAAACTTGCAAAATTTTATAGAATCGCAATAGGATCATAGGATCGTATGATTCTACGATCCTACAAACGATTCTACAGATCCCATACAAAATGAGGTATTTTTCAATTTTACATATGATCCGGATAGTAGGATCGTACCGGATCACGATTTTGACAACATTAGTCGTGTATCCAATTGCCTGGTGAAAAGTTTTACTCAACTCCTGTCGAATGGGTGAAGCTTTCTTCTGCATCTGATCCTCTTCGTCTGATAGTCAGGCAAAACGTAGACATATTCTTCTCGAATTTTTTGAATGCCTAATGCTATTGTTGTGCATCCAATAAATGCGTTTGACGTCCTAAATGTCTGTCCAGCGTCTGAAGCATTCTATTTGACAGTGTAATCATTATTTGTTGGACGTATGAATGAGTGCACAACATCTGATTATAGCATCCAAACCTCTGGATCACCTTTTTGTGCACTTTGAATGCTTTCAATCTTTGATTGTTTTGATTGTATACCTGTTTCTCACAAAGTACTTGAAAAGACATTAATAAGAATTATCATTTGGTTTGTTATCATCAAAATAAAGAATCAAGAACCAACAATCTTCCCCTTTTTAATGATGACAAGTCAAGTGATGATTTTGACAAATAAAAGTGCATAACTATGGGGAGATTTAACACAATTGAAATGAGTGAACTCCCCCTTTCTTAGAGCATATAAAAACGTTCAACTCCCCCTAAATATTGTCATGTAAGAGTCAAATCATCACAAAATCATATAAAATCATCATAATTACTACTTCCTCTTTTGTTATCAAGAAAAAAGTTTTGTAAACATTTGGGTAGAGTTTCTCCTTAAAATTTATGATAATCCACCAGCTAGTAATCCATGATGAGGAAGAAAGAACATTCAAACATTTCAAAGAGGCAATAAATTGCCAAAAATAAGCCAATAGACATCAAGATAATAAAGATACAAAAAAAAAAAAAAGATGACCCTACAAGCATGAACCTAAGGGATGCCTACATGTCCTAAAACTCTATATGAAATTATGGCCTTCGTCTTCAGACAAGCTAAAATTAATCATCCTTTGTTTCTTCTCCCGAAACATCTTCTTGACTGTTTTGGGATTTGTAGACACCAAATTTTTGATTTTAAACTTTATTTGTTTAATTAATTTAATTTTAGCTTTATTTGTTTCAATTTTAGGTTTTTTTTATTATTTTAATTTTTATTTATTTTTACCTTCATACTAAATTTCAGAAAAAGGGGAAAAAGAAGAAAAGAGAAAAAGGAAAGAAAAAGAAGAAAAAAAATTAGTAAAAATGGCTAGTGGGGATCATGCATAGGGACAAGTGACCCTTTTTGGTATTTGGCAACACCTTACCTAGATGGTGAGGTGGTGAGGTGTCTCGGCACTGGTAGCAAGAAAAAACTATGGGGACGGCGGCTGGGGTTTGGAAATAGAGGTGACGGGCTAGGAGGAAAGGAGAGGTTTTTAGGAAGGGAGGAGCACGACGGCGAGCAAGGAGAAAAGGGAGCGGAAAAAAAAAAGCCAAGAAAAACAGAGGGCGATGGGTCTGAAAGAAAGAACAAAAACAGAGCCACGGCTGGGCTGAGTTTGATAGGATTAGAGAGGGGCGGCTAGGTAAGAAAAAGGGTTCGACGGCAAAAGAAGGAAGAGAGGGTATGACTGGGGTTGAGAAAGAAAGAAAATGGAAAAACAGAGGAGGCTTTGTCTGGGGGAAGGAAAGAAAAAAGAACAAGAAAGGAGGAGCAAAGGTGACAGGGATTCCGACGATAGTATGTCGTTTGGCAGCCTCTAGGCCTTCTTTCAGAGCTGCTCGATTTTCTTCTTTATCGTCGCTTATCGAAACTAGGGTTGCAAACGAGTCGAACCGAGTCGAGTTTTGAGCTAATCGAGCCGAATTTCGACTAAATTTTACCAATCTCGAACTCGACGAGCCGGCAAATTTCGAGTTCGAGCTTGACTCGAATCAAGTCGAACCGAGATCGAACTCGAAAAAAAATAAAAAATAATTATTTTATTTTTTAAAAAATAAATAAAATAATATTTTTTCTTAATAAATAATAAAATATTAAGGATATATATGTAATTTTACTATGAAAATAAAAAATAAAAAAATATATATAATATACGTAATTTATTATTAAATAAAAAAAAATAAAAAAAAAATATATATATATACCTAATCTCGTGAGCCGGCTCGCGAGCTAACGAGTTTAATATTCTGAGCTCGAGTTCGAGCTCGACTCGAGCTTGACTCGAGCCGCTCGCGAGTAGCACGATTCGTTTGCAACCCTAATCGAAACCCTAATGATTTCCTCCACCACTGTCCACTCTTGCTACCCTTCACCCGCCGCCGTCCAACATCAACAATGCCCTCTGGACCCAACAACCTGAAGAAGTCGAAGCCTTTTCTTCATTTTTATGGTCTGCCTCCCCCAGAATTGCAGCAACTGCTGCAGCGGAAGAAGAAAACATGCGAATCCCATCAAGAAATCAACGCCATTACAGCCGCTGCCGCTGCCAGGAAAGCGCCACCACCTCACCGCCAATCCATCATCGCCGCCTGTGAATTTCACCAAGAGAAAGCACCGGTAAGTAAGCATTTCATTTCATTAGGGCACCAACTCAAGAGAGGTACACTCTATCCCTTATTTCTTACTTTATTTGACTCTATGTGCCCTATGTGACTTTACGTGTTTGATTGTATGCCTCTTGAATGTTTTTTATTTATTTCATTTATTTATTTGTTTGCTTTATTGGCTTTAGTTTGTATATCTATTTTTAGTTCAAATTTTGATCATTTGAAAGGCACTTGAACGCCAAAGTTGTAATAGTTAGGTTATTATTTTATTTATTTTATTCCGTTTCCCCTCTTAGATTGTAGTAGGCTTCCCCCGAATGTAATAGATAGGGCTTATGTGCTTGTGTGTGCCTATGTGTTTATCGTTTTCCTAGGCCTTTGCATCTAGATAAGCATGCTTGTGTGCTACGTGCTATGTGGAACTAGGTGATTTGCATGTCTATTTGTTTTAGTATTATATTTGATTATGTAGATGAGTGCACGTTACCGTGGCTAGTCCAATGTTGGTAATGGTCTTCCCCTCGAGCTCTCACAAGTCCAATGCTTGTGAGAGAGCGTTAGTAAAGGGATAGTCCAACGCTAGACCCTTAGAAATCATTCTACGCGTTAGATCATGATTGTGTGATAAAATCACTTCACCTCATGCATATCTTTATTTTGTAGGGCCTCTTTTACCATGTTGCATGACACTTTCCTTATATATGTATATCAATTCCTCCATATTTTCTCTTATATGTATATTACTTGCCCCCTTTGTATGAAACATGACATTAGACTTGCATTCCTATTTAAGAATTAGAACTAGACTAGTACATTTGCATGATTAGATTAGGAAAATTACCCCTTGGATATGGGATATGGACGAGTTTGGCTTCTCTAGCCTTAACACGCTCGTATTCCCTCTATTAAAGGGAACATTGAAGTCACGAGTATAAGTTTCCCACACCCATTATGATGCATTCCTTTAGGACATACACATTTGTATATTATTATTTCCTTTACCTTTCCTTTCTTTCGAGTCTCATATTTTTGCATTATTTGTGACTTCTCCAAAGAGTCCGCATTGGACATCACAATTAATATGATTAGCATCAATTGAGTTTTGAAGGGAAATTTCGACCCCCCGACACCCTCCTAGGTCTAGAGTATGTATTCATATAGTACATCCAAATGTGATAAATTTTAAGGGTAAAATAAGAAAATTTTTGACTAAATCGCGCAACTAGTCTTGGCTAGGTTGAAAGGGTGCCTTGAATTCTCATTCTTGCCTTCCCTTTCTTCAAATGTGACTCCCGAATCTTTTTCTCTAATTTTCGTAGACTTGGAGTCGTTTAAAAAAGATTTTCTACTTTTTCCTTTAAAAATTCATTTTTTAGGTGACTTGGTACACCTTAACTCTATACCAAGTGGCGACTCCATTTTTCATTCAAAAAACCCTTCTTAAACTATATTTTGGGTCAAATCATTGCATTTTCAAGTTCCATTTAGACCCTTGTTCTTCATTTCCTTTTTAAATAAAAAATTCATTTTTCAATCAAAAATTAAATCAAAATTCATTTTTCTAAACTCGTTTTTTATTTATTCTTATATCAAAAATGGGACGCGACAGTTGGCGACTCCACTGGGGATTTAGAGAGTCCAAGCAAATTTGATTTAGTCAATCTTTTTTTTCTTTTAACCTTTTCATATATCGCATTTGGATGTTTAGGGTTGCATTTTTTTTCTTTTAGGATTTTTTGTGTTTCGCGCGTATCAACTCCCTCACCTATTTGCGTACGATTGATTTGATGGATGAATAGTTTATTTATGTGATGTGATCTCGCGTCTTGCATTGCATTTGGGTAGGGGGATATTTCCCTAGAGTCGCGCGTTGGTTCTCGATCTCTCCCCTCCAAACGAGCAATAGCATACGTGCATACGCTTTATTTTTTATCCCTCATTTATTTTTCTTTTAGTGGCTTGTCACGCCACTCCACCCTATTAGGGTTTTAGGCGACCCATTTGAATATGTGATCGCGACACGATGTGTGCGTAGTATGATCCAAGGGTTCACTCAATCTTCCACTTTAAATTTTGGGTTGATAGCCTTTAGCTTTTAGTCGAAAGTTGAGGATTTTTGACAGATTCGCTCAAACATGTAGCCGTGACACGATGTGTGCGTA